ACTTCGCAAGCGAGCGCCCGTCCCCGCCCGCGTCCGAGCGCGTTCGCGAACGTCACCGCCGCGCGCGCCCAAAGCGCGCTCGACATCTCGCGCGCGCGCTCGCCGTGCGCCCCGATCGGTCGCTTCACCGAACGTCGCGCGAGGACGACCGAGGGACGACCGCGGACGCGCGCGACGCGCGGTCGACGAGCTCGGACGACGACGATCGTGGGCGTCGACGATCGATGTGATTTAGGGTTTAGCGTCACGCACATCACCGGTCGCGCGACCGACACCGAGAGGAGTGAAAATCCGCGCGTGGGACTTGGGGGGGTGATTGATGAGTGCTCACTCGAGAGGAAAACCCCGCGCGGGCGCGCGACGCGCGGGGTGGAAAGCCCTGGCGACGGCGACGACGTCCGCCTTTTCGCGACGCGCACGGCGATGGTGAAGTTTCTCAAGGTGCGTCCGCGCGCGTGACGCGTGCGGTGGTGTTCGTCGAGCGTCGACGCGTGGACGCGCGCGACGCGACGGCGGTCGAGGCGATGAAGACGCCGGGCGAGCGCTCGATCGACGGCGCGATCGAGCGCGATGGGGGGGAAGTCGACGGCGTCGACGCGCGTCGAGGGCGATGCGGAGCGACGCGAGAGGGGAGATGCCTCGAAAGTTTCGCGACGACTGACGTCGGTGTTTTTCCATCGCAGCCGGGCAAGGTTGTCGTCGTTCTCGCTGGCCGCTACGCCGGGAAGAAGGCGGTCATTGTGAAGAATGTGGACGACGGTAACTCCGCGCACCCGTACGGGCACGCGCTCGTGTGCGGTCTCTCCACGATCCCGCGCAAGGTACGAAATGATTTACATCGATGCGCGCGCACGGCGCGTCGCGCGCGTCGGCGCGATCGACGCGGCGAGCGTTTGGTTGCACGGAGATGTGGGTTCAAAGCCCTAAAGCCCTGAAACGCGCCCGCGCGAGCGCGAGAGACTGACCGCTCGTTCCGTCGCTTTCGAAAACGCGCAGGTGACGAAGAAGATGGATGAAAAGAAGCAAGCCAAGCGCTCCAAGTGCAAGACTTTCATCAAGAACATCAACTACTCCCACCTCATGCCGACCCGTTACACCCTCGACGTCAACTTCAAGGACGTCGTCACGTCCGACGTGTTGGACAACGCCACGAAGAAGGTTGCGGCTCAAAAGGAGGCGAAGAAGCTCCTCGAGGAGCGATTCAAGACTGGCAAGTCTCGTTGGTTCTTCACGCGCCTCGCCTTCTAAGTGGAGAAGAGTTCTCGCACTAGGCGGCAGGTTTTAGTAGATGTTTGGGGGCGACGGCACATAGCAAAGACTTCGCTCGTGTTCGATGCGCGCTACTTAGAAAATACATTCGTGTTATGCGCATAATCATGAGCTGATGAACAAACCGTATCGGAATCGCACTTTTTCACCTTACAAGTGAAGGAAGGAACTAACGTCGCTACTCTATTACGAAGAAAGATCTACACAAAACACTAAAAAACACGCTCGAACGGACGCCCGCGCCGCGGGCTCCGCGTCGAACTCACACATCGTCACCCGTCGCGCGGTAAAATGCGCAGGATGGCAATAGTTAAAGAATGAATTAACATCATCACGCCGCCTTCGCCACTCGGAAGAGCGTCTTGAAGTTGTCGCTGATGATGGTCGTGCTCGGCGAGGAGCGGTACTCGATCCCGTTCGCCTTGGCCCAAGACTTTAAGAGCGGCCGAAGCTTGTGGTAGTGGTACCGCGGCATCGTCGGGAACAGATGATGTTCCAATTGTGTGTCCATACCACCCCACAGCCAAGTTTCGAGCCCCCCAAAGACGCATTCAGCGTCGCGCGTCGAGCGGAATTGGCCCTCGACGTACTCCGCACCCTCGCCAAAATCCATAATTTCTTCGCTCTGGTGCGTCGCGCTCACGAGAGCGCCGACGAGAAAGCCACTGAAGAAGATAGAGCCGACGGCCACCTGCCACGGCATCATTGTCGCCAAGAAGAGGTAGTTCACCCCGATCATCGCGAGCTCCTTGACATCCTTTCTTCCCCACGCCGTGGTGATGGAGTGGAATCGCCAGAGCCAAAACATGATGGAAAGCAGAGGATAGCCGTAGATGTGCTGATACTTTCGCATCGGGTGGTCCGGACGTCCCGACGCCGACGGTTCTCTGAGATAAAAGAACGGTTCCATCATGATATCGTTATCGAGGTGCTCCTCGTTGGTGAACGTGTGATGCATGGAGTGCTTTTGCATCCACCACTCCACCGAGTGCCCGTTGAGCAACGTGGGCATGTATCGCATGAGGTCGCACCAGGGTCCCCGACCGTGGACGTAGTCGTGGCCCAGCCAGCCCGCTTGTTGCATCCCGAGACTGAGCAAAATGGTGGCGATGAACGGATGAGAGTACGCGACGGCGGTGCCGCTCACGTAGAGCGCGACCACTTGGAAGAGCGCCCAAGCCTCCTTCACGGGGTTTCGCTTAAAGAATCCGTCCTCTGCGAGCTTGTCGCGGAGCTCACCGAACGAGCTGATCACCGCGTATGACTCTTTGCTCGGCATTCGGCTCATATCCTTGGGCGGATCGCACCGAGGAAGCTTACTCAGACGCCGCAGCGCCAAGTCGCTCCCGTTGGGGCCGTACGAGTGCAGCGCGTAGAAAATATCCGTCGCATCGCGCCCGTCGAAGAAGTGAATCCAACGCTCACCGCCCGGGTGCGCCTTGGCCCACCCACGGGCGTCGTACCACTCGTCACCAATCTTCAATCGGATCGGTTCCTTCGCGTCTCGCTCGCGTCCCTCCGGCACGTCGTCGTACGTCGGCGTCGCCAACGGGTTCGCCACCGCGCCCGGCGTCCGCACGCTCGCGCGCGCGCGCACTCGCGACGCGAACCGTCTCGCCATCTTCACCGTCGTCGCCTTCCTCGCCGCGGCGTCGCTCGATCCGAACCGCGTCGCGCGCGTCGCCCCCTCGTCGCCCCGCGTCCGCGCCGTCGTCATCGTGCGCGTCCCCATCGCGCGCGCGCGTCCCATCACGCCCACCGACGACGCCATCGCGCGCGCGTTCGTTCGTTCGACCCCACCGTCGTTCGCGCCGTCGCCTCGTCCTCGCACGCGATGCGCGCGTCGCACTCTCGTCGCCGCCGTCGCGCGCCGTCGACGTCAGCCCAAGTGGATCGCCTTCGAGGCACATCGTCGAGTCATCACTCGTGGACGTCATCCCCATCGTCTCATCCACATCCACGGCATCCACGTCGACGGCGATGGTGATGAAGACCTCGCGCGTGCCCCCCCCCTTCGATCGCGATCGATGTGCACCGATATCACGATCGATCGATCGATCGATCGACATCACGGAGGATCATCGATCGAGGTCGGATCGACCGATCGTCGTCGTCGTCGTCGTCGTCCACGGTCGCGATCGCCCCGTCGCCCGGCGTCCGTCGCCCGTGGGTCGTCGAGCGGGACGTCACCCACGGCCGACGCGTGGACCGATGCCGCGCGCGTTGAGCGAGTGCGTCGTGCGCACGGAGGCGATGGCGAAGCCGCGCGCGCGCGACGGCGTCGAAACCGCGCCGCCGTCGCCGACGACGCCGCACGACGCATCGTTCCCAGGCGCCGCCTCGAGCTCGGACAGCGACGCGAGCGATGGCGCGGCCGACGTCTCGCGATGCGTGCGAGAGATGTTGCGAGCGATGGGAGAGGACGTGGAGAGAGAGGGTTTAATGGACACGCCCGCGCGCGTGGCGAAGGCGCTGGCGTTCGCGATGCGAGGATACGACGCGTGCCCGACGGCGGCGTTAGGGACGGCGCTCTTCAACGAGGACGGCTTAGCGCGCGCCTCGAGCGCGAGCACGAAGGAAGACGTCGAACTGGGAACGAACGACGTGGTGTTGGTGAGAGATATTCCCGTTTTCAGCACGTGCGCGAGGACGTTCATGCCGTTTTACGGAGTAATTCACGTCGGGTACGCCCCTCGCGCGGGCGTCATCGTCGGCTTGAGCAAGCTCGCGCGCGTCGCGGAGGTGTACTCGAGGCGATTGCAGACCCCCGACGGGTTAGCGCGCGCGGTGGCGCAGGCGTTAGATGACGTCGCGTCTCCGCTGGGGGTTGGCGTGATGTTCACGGGCATGCAGTTGGGACCGTTTGAACCGCGAAAAATGGAGGGATGGGCGTCGACGGGGTGCTTCGCCGCGACAAACTCCGTGTGGTGGGACGAGTTTTCGGCGCTCGTAGAGCTCGGCGGTGGACCGTCCGAACTTTCGCGTGGGATCTGGGGCGATGAATCTCGCTGCGGCTCGTGCGATAACGTGCAAGGTGGAAAGGTAGCGACGACGAGGGGCGAGACGGAGACGATGATGGACGCCGCGGCTTCGCGAGCCGCGTCGGAGGTTGACGAGTCCGTTTTCTCGAGCGTTTCCAAGCTCCTTCGGGCGTTGAATTTAGAGAAACGAGTTTCAGAGGCGACCGACGGAGAGGTGACGCTGGAAGACACCGCGAAGAGGTACTCGCAGTTGCTCGCGGCTATGCGATCCGGAGCCGACGTGCCCTTCAACCTGATCGCGGAATCAGCGACGCGAGATGGCGAGTCGAACGACGGCGTGGACGAAATCGAGGATGGCGTGTGCGTCACACGCGATCTTCACATGTCCACGGTGTGCGAACATCATCTCTTGCCGTTCCATGGCACGGTGAGTGCGGCGTATATGACGGGTCCGGGCGCGCAACCGCTCAGCCGCGACACCCTCCAGGCCATCGTCAGTCGCCATTCTAGACGGTTGCAGGTGCAAGAACGACTCACGCGAGACATCGCAGAAGAGATAAGCACCCTCACGGGGGGCGTTGGAGTGATTGTAGCCGCGCGCGCCTCACACTTGTGCATGGTGAGCCGAGGAGTCGAGAAACCCGGTAGCTCAACGTGCACGGCTGTGAAACTCGGGCAGTTCGCCCGTGAGCCCGCGTTGCGCGCGCGCGTTTGGAAGCGCTTATGCGCTACAGGGAATTTATAATGACGTCGATGACGCGTCCGTAGCTGCGTAGTGGTGTTTGTGATTTGAATTGTTTTACAAGCAACTTTTTCACGACGAGCTCGCGAACATGTCTGGCGCGCTTGCCAAGAGAGCTTTGATGTCCGAGAAATGCGCGTCCTGCACGCGCGATATCTTTCCTGCCGCGGCTCCTTGCGCTGCAACGTGCGCCTTGAGGGCTCGCCCGAGAACAAGCGCCAATTCGGTGTGAAACCAAATAAGCTCGTGCTCCATGTTGGCGCAGCATCGCTCGTAGCGCTCGTGAGTTTGCGTCCGTTCGATGCGTAGATCGCTCGCCGCAAGCTCTATTCTTTGCTTCTCTTCTCGCTTCGGGCCCGGTTCTGGAATACCCATCGTCGAAAGCTTGGCCTCAATTCGTCCTATGCTCGAAGAGACTCGATTGTAATGATCCACGATGCGTTTGCGCGCCTCGAAAGCGGCCATCGTCGCGGCGCACAAGCCATTCATCTCTTCGAGAGAATCTAAGAATTCCGAGCGCATCGTTTCGCTCGCTTCGCGCTGCGCTGGGATGAGAGCTACGAACAAGTCGCTCATGCGCTTCCACGCGACGCCTTTGGATGACGGCTCGAACACCTTGAGCGCCTTCTCCTCCTGCGTCGCCAGCAGCTCCAGGCAACCGTTGAAATCCTCGTACGCTTTTACAGTGTGCATACCGTGCTTCTGAAGCGCCGACGTCGCGGCAACGAGCTTATCCATGCGGTTCTTTAAGGTGCTCACGTAATCCACGATTTCGACGTGTTGCTGATTCTCTCGCATGGCGTCCACGGACATGGACGACGTGAGCGAGGAAATATCCGAGGTGTTCAGTGTGGACAGCCACGACGTCACCGACGAGACGCTATCGCTGAGGACTCCGCGCTCGTGCCACGGCACGCGATTCGCCCACGTCTTGGGATCTTGCGTCAAGAATGCGAGTAAATCTTGCGACTTGCGCATCAAAGGGTGCGCGGCGACGCGAGCCGCGAACATGGCCAAGCCGGTGCGCCTTCGCTCTATTCCACGAGACGACGGATCGTCCATGTGCAGTATCGTCTTCGACGGGATGACGGGAATGATGACTCCGTCGCAATTCGCCTCGAGCTGCTTACTCAACCACTCGAAATCGGAGTATCGTCGCGTCACGCATCCGCTCGAGCCTTTCCCTCCGTACGCCTCGGCGTCGGTCCAGTACGTCACCTTGTACTCGATGTGTTTACTCAGACCGTCGCCCACGCGATGCGGATCGCCGATCTCTATGATGATCTCATCGTCCGTCGTCGTCGTCCCGATCGCCTCGTGACCTCCCGGGACGCGCACGATGCCCACGCTCGGGGCGCTCGGGCGCGGTCCCGGTGTGAGGAACGCCCGTCGCTCCTCGGGCGCGGGCGAGATCGCGCGCGGCGATGACGCGTCGCGCACCTCCATCGCGCGCGCGTCTCCGTCGTCGCGCGCGACGCAGCGATGGGTCGGACGTCCGCGTCGACGTTCGACGATCGCGTCATCGCGCGCGGTCGATCGCGCGCGTGTTGTCCGACCGACCGCGTGTGGCGACCGACCGCACGTCCACGACGACGGTCGCGCGGTCCGTCGAGGACGCGGTGCGACCACACGTCGTGGCGCGCGTCGACGGCTCCACGGACCGCGTCGACGGACCGCGCGAACGCGTCGTCGCGCGAACGCGTCGTCGCGCGAACGCGCGGCGTCGTCATGTCCAACGCCGGCATCGGGCTCTCGCAGTTCGCCTTCGTCGGCACGTTCATAGCGGCGGTGAAGAAGACGATCACGGGACCGAGGGCGGAACCGCCCGATCACTTAAAGTGCGCCATCACGCAAGAGTTATTCACCGATCCCGTGGTCTTGGTGCAGAGCGGGTACACGTACGATAGGCGGGCGATTCAGAGGTGGTTGGCGCAGAAATTCCCACCCACCGACCCGACGTCGAACGTCGAGTTGTGGTGCACGGACATCGTTCCGAACTGGTCGTTGAGGCAGGCCGTGGACGAGTGGGCGCTTGCGAACGGCGCACGAACTTTAGAAGCCCCGGTGGAGGCGGTGCGAGTGACCAAGGATGGGCGACCCACGGGGAGGCGGAGCGCGAACGCGACGTCCGCGGCGGCGCTCACGCACCAATATTTGCAAGCTTTACATCGCTCGCATCCGCGACACGCGGCGTGCGTGGTATTTTTGATGACGTTCACGCTAGGAACGATCACCGTCACCGCGCTCACGGTGGCTCATAGCGTGGGCTCGGCCGCGGCCGCCGCGCTGCGGCACGAGTCCATCGCGTGGTTGTGCACGGGACCGGTGCAGAACGCCGCGTGGTGGGGTGGCGTTTTGTCCTTTCTGTGGCTTGCCCAAAACGCTGGACCGCCGATTGAGCAGGGAAGGGGTCGCGATCGCGGAGAACGACAACCTGAGATCGTCGGTCGAGGACTGTTTCGTCGTCTCGCCGGCGGTTGAGGTTTGTCTGTCGGTCGAGCGAACAGTCTGCGTTCGAGCGTTGTATCATAGATTAGAGTTGTATGCGAGCGAAACGTCGCGTTTAAAATACCGTGGCGTCGTTCTTCATGAACGTTTCGTCCTCTTCAGCGTGCGCACGATCATGGTCTCGTTCGCTCGTCCCATGCGACCCAGAGAGCCTCTGAACAACCTCTCTGTCACCAAAAGCACATCTTCCCCGCTCGCGCATCGATCGAAGCGCTCGACAAAGTTCGAACCCACACAAGGCGTCGCTCCCGAGCGAACGCCGAAAGCGGAACACGCGTACGCGCGCGATCGAGCGACAGGGTTAATTATCTTCCGTGACTCGTCGTCTCGAGATTTAACACCGCTCGGTCGCGGAGGACGCTCGCGCGAGAGTCTCTCTCACCTCGGACGGACGTTTTCTCACGCCGCCCTCAACTCGGACGATCGCTCGACCGCGATGCGATTCACGAGCGCGCGCGACGTGAACGAATCTTCGAGCGCGTTGGAGAAAAATATTGAGGACACGTCTCCGTCGATGACGTCTTCAGTGCGCGCAGAGGGGCACAGAGACGGCGGCGATGCGAACGAAGATGCGTGGGAATTCGTGGGCGGGAAGAAAAAGTCAGGGAACACGCCGAGACAGAACGCAGAGTCAGCGGGGACTGGGGAGGAGGGAAAGAGACGTCGAAACGGTAGCGCACACGCGACTCGCAACGGAACGGGGGCGAGGTCGGAGAAATCAAACGTCAGCAGGGTCGGAGGCCAGCAACTCGAACGCGGCGCGACGAACGGCGCATCCGAACACGTCAAAACTGCACACAATGATGATCAGAAGCGGCGACAACGTCAAAAACAACAACAGAGCGCTCGATTGGAGCCATCTGGATGGGCTGCGATCGTCACAGGTCGATTGTCGCCGACGGACGTTTCCGCGGACGCGGCTGCGATAGCGGTGACGGCGCAGACAGTGGCCGTGGATAACGTTATTGACTCTGTTCACGATGTTCAATTATCGCCCGGGAGCGCTACTTCTAGCGAAGATAAGTTATCCAGGATGGACTCGCGCGAGGTCGAGGGTTCTCAATCACCGCAGTCGGATCGAGAATCGCAACTGATCAGCGGCGCGCGGGAGAACGCTGAAGTTGTTGGAGCCGGAGCCAGAGCTTTGAAAGGCTGGGCATCGATTTTGGGCGGCAGTAGCGCTCCGGAGAGTCAGGTAAAAGACAACATTATAGATCAGGGCATCAAGGCAGAGGCTGTGGTCGAGACGAGCCCTAACAAGTCGGAAGACACTTCCGGGAAGGCCCCGGTGGCGCCAGCTGCGTCAACGTGGACCGGTTGGGGAGTATCTTCCCCTCCTCCCAAGGTCGATCTGAAGGCGACTATGGAGGCGGATGCAGCCGCCGCTGCGGCGGCGGAGCCGACGCAATCGTCCGCGGTGAAGAAAGAAGTGACTAGGACTGATGAGAAGCATAGAAAGCAAAACGGCCGCAAGAAGAAAGACGTGAATGGCAAGAAGGAGAACAAGTCTGCCAAGCAACGCCAAGACGGCTATCGAAAAGACAGAGAGAAGATCTCCAGAGTAAAAGTGACTGTGTCTAAACCGATATCTCCGCCGCCCGTGGATGTGTCGATGGATCGCCCCAGAGCGCCGCTGTCCAGTGACGTCGAAGACGCCCTTGCCGAGAGGCTTGGACGCGAGCTCATTGAGTGCGCTCACATGCAGTATTTCACGCCCACCGCGCAATTGCTGAAGAAGGAAAGACGCGCTGTGGACGTGGTTATTCGCGCGATGAACGCCATCGTGCAGACGTTGTTCCCGGCGACGGGGGTTGAGGTGTTTGGCTCGTATCCCACTCGCGCGTGGGTGCCGGGATCTAGCAACTTAGATTTGTCTCTGGAGCTCCCAGAGGCGATTAGCTCGCGCCCTGACCGAAGAATCGAGGCTCTGCACACACTAGCGATGGCACTCCGAACAAATCCGTGGGTGATGGACGTCAATGTCGTGCCGAGCTCGTTCAGGCCTTTGATTCGCATGAGCACGCACACAGCTTTCTTCCAGCCGATGCCGCAGCAACTCACCGGTAAAGCCTCCGCAGCGTTCGCTGAAGGCGTGAAAGCTATTGTTCCGCCGTTGAGCGCGAGTTCGATGGATGTGAACGGTACGCCACCGTTACCATCAGGCCCAAGACCGGGGCCTCCCCCATACGGCGTTCCAGGACTCGGGCAAAATGGTTTCGGACTTCCGCTCGAGGTGCACATCTCGCTCAAGGATGGGAGCCACAAAGGTTTATCTGCGCTCCGATTCGTCCAAGCGGCAGAGGAACAGCACGGCGCCCTGGCTCCTCTCGTGTGCGTGCAAAAAGCTGTGTTAGCTAGTAAAGGTTTGCGAGGAGTGTACAAGGGTGGATTGGGATCGTACGCCCTGACGATGATGGCGCTGACGTCCATTCAACGCTCTTCTTGCCGTGGCGCCGCATCAAGCGCAGATGACGCATCGAAAACCCACGACGAAGCGGGTAAGCACTCAGTGACCGAAGCGACCGAGACCCGCGACGCAATGTACGTTGGACGGGCGATGCTTGATTTCCTCAAGCTGTACGGCCATGAAGCGGACTTGTCAAAGGATGTCATCTCGGCTCATACAGGTGATGCGTCTGCGGACTGGGGCATTCTTTCCGGGTCGTCGACACTTCCTGCATCGCCAAGTTCCGGACTTCACGTCGAAGATCCCCTCGAGAAGTCCAATAACGCCGGCGCTGGATGTTTCGGAATCAGCGGCGTGCAAGCTCTCTTTAGAGAACAGCTCGAGGTGCTCAGAAATGCTGCCGATACCAAGTTTGACAGCGACGTTCCGCTTTTGATGCAGCTCATCATGCTTGGTGGCGCCAAAAAAGTTTTCATAGTCTGATAATCGAGAGCGAGAAGAAGTCGCTTGAGGCACATAACATAGCTCGCAACCGCTCGCCATATCATTTGAAATTCAATTTGCTCGTATGTCCACAACAATTTCGTTCCGTACTAAGATGCATTGATGAACTGCACGTACTGCTCCATGGACTTTTCGTCCATCGGCACGATGTGACCGCCGTCATGATTCAGAACGCTTGCGCTCAAGCCGAACGCCCGCGCCACGCGAAGCGCCTGCTCAGGCGGATTGATCGCATCAGAGGCTCCGATGATGTGTAAACTGCGCGTCGGCGTTACGTCCATTTGTCCGTTCTCCATTCTCTCAAGCTTGTGGGCCACACACGTCGGCCAAGCGGCGCCGGCGATGATGGCGCACTCCGTGACGCAGGATTGGTCCTCCGCCATGACGAGCGCCGCGAGCATCGCCCCTTGCGAGAAACCAAAAATTCCAGCCCACGGTCCCGTCTCTCGCACCATTGCGATCGAATCCTCAACGCCCGGGAGTTCGCTCGCGTTGAACGTGCGCTCGCCCGGTCGAAGCGCCCACCATCCACGCCCTCCCGGGTTCGGTTCGATCGTTCCACCGTCGGCGAAGTGCCACTCCCAGTGCTCACTCGTCGCGTCACACAGAGGGGCGAGCTGTCGAGCAAACGCACGCGCGTTCCCACCCTTGCCGTGAAGGGCGAGCATGCGGCGCTTCGTCGGCCCTCCCGTTCCATCGGCGTTCACGCTCGCGCTCGCGACGACGACGACGCCCATGGACGCCGACGTGTGACGCGCGATGCGTCCCGTGACGGCTCGTTGCCGAGAGTTTGCCGACAGCCTCTGCGAACGACACCTTCGAGCGTCCGTCACGGCGCGCCTCGCGCGAGTTCGACCTCGCGCGCGCGAGATGGCGAAACGGAAGAAACGGCCGTGGCTCGACGCGTCCGTCGTGCGAAACGCGCGGGCGAGGGACGGCGAGAAGGCGCGCGAGCGACGAGAGCGCGAGCGAGCGTTCAGGGAAAAGTGTCCAGAGCGATTCGTCGAGGAGGAAAAGGAACGCGAGAGCGAACGCGAACGAGACGCACGGGCGCGCGATGGTGATTTTAAAGCGTCGACGTCGGGGCGGGGAGGACGACGGAACGATCGCGAGGGCGCGGACGGAAGACGGAAGGGCCACAAAGGCGACGGCTCGCCAGACGACTCGTTCTCGACAGACCCGCGTACGTTTCCGACGCACGCGACGTTTCAAACGCGCGAGGGATTATCGAACGATGCTCTCGAGTGGCGAAGGAGTCGCGTGGAGGCGGTGACGAAAGACATCGCGATGTGCGCTCGGCACAAACAATTACGAAGGGCGTGTCGCGCCTTTGTACAGTTGATCGAAGATGGAATGGTCCCGTCGTCGTACACGTACGCGTCGCTACTAAATGCGTACGTGAACACGGGCTCGATGGACGGTGCCGAAGCGCTCATGGAGCGCATGAGCGAAGTGGGCTGTGCGCCGAACGTCGTAGCGTACACCACGATGTTGAAAGGATACATGCTGGTGGCAGATGTCGACGCCGCGTGGCGATTGCTCGAGGGCATGAAACATCCCGTGGCTCCAGATATAAGAGCGGTGAATACGTACATACGTGTGTGCGTACGATGTGGGAGCTTGACGATGGCTCGACGCGCTTTCGAGCGCGTGCGAGACTGGGACATTGTGCCTGACGAGACAACGCACAGACTGATGGGACGATTGCTCGCGCAAGGATTAAGGTGCGACGAGCTGAAGAGCTTGATCAAGAGCGTGAAGAAGAACGAACATTTAAGATGGACACTAGACCCAAGTTTTGGTCACTGCCAGTTCTGGTGCGCTGGAAAGTGTGAACGTGGCGCGAACTGCCGATTCTATCACGATCCTTCCATCGAGCAGGTTGACGCGTCGGCGAGAGAGACGGACGTGAACGACATGCTGGCGCACCTATACGTCAATCACGCGCACGCGACGGCAATGTCGGGTGATGTAAAGCAGTGCTTCAAGTCACTTGCGAAAGCAGCCGAGAGTTTTGCACAAGATGACGACGGAAACGCGGCCGGGCTCAAGGACAGAGACGAGCGAGCAGAGCTCTTCAGACAGACGAGCAGAGATGAGCTCAAGCGTGAGATGAAACGCATCAAGGCGTTCGCGGAACGGTTAAAAAATGGAGAGCAAAAGGCACCAAACCTCGATGAGCACTTTGCGCGTTCTTTGATTTTTAGCTCACAAATTCTTCAGCCACCAGAACGAGGCTCAACAAGCTCCGAGGAGGAGGTGAGCGCCGTGCGCGAGCATCTTTATTCTGCGTTGAAGGACACAATGGGAATGAGCGATTCGGAGCGGAAAGTGAAGCGCGCGATTCGAAAAGTCATATCGGAAGACGGGACCATTCGTTTCGATCGAATGTTCAGTCACAGATTGAAGAAGGACGAGCGCGAGTTGAATCTCGAAGTTGCCGCCGGAAACGGCGACTGGGCCGTGGCGCAAGCCGCCACAGACGATTCATCCGATTGGATCTCTCTTGAGCTACGCCACGACCGCGTGTACAGCATTTTTTCACGTGCCGTCTTTTCGGGAGCATCCAATTTTGCCGCAATGGGTGGCGATGCTGCGTATGTTATGCGCCGATATATAGCTCCGGGTTCCGTGTCCAATGTCTTCGTGAACTTTCCAGAGCCGCCGCATCACAGTGGAGACGCCGCTGCAGACAACTCACTCGCCTTACTCAACAAAGAGTTCTTTCGGGATATCCACGCCGGTCTCAAAGAAAAGGGCGGTTTGGTGATATTCAGCGATAACCATCGCTACATGCAATCTTTGGCTCGAATGTTAGCTGGTATGGATTTGTTCTCGAGCCGAGATGCCGACGTGACGTCGCGCGAACCGGCAGAGCTTTATGAAACCATCGATGGAGTACGTCTATATCAAGGCATCCCCGGTCCACTCGCGGGTCATCGCGTGCACGAACAATCGTATTTCGACCGATTCTGGGAGAACGGTCGACACGTGGATCGATACTTTCTTAGCGTAGGAAAAGTTGCGTAATAGTAGTACCTCCTCGTCATTGAATAGAAAACTATTGTAATTCGCATGGATATACTTTACATATGGTACAAGCAAGTCTGATTGTTTTAGAATGTCGATCTTCGCGACGACCACAACGCACGAATCGTGTCAAATACGCCGAGTCTGAAGTCAGAGCTGAACTGCGCTTCAAACACGCTCTCGCCGGTGAGCTCGACCAGCCCGAGCTCCGATCCCCGCGAGACGCCGTTGGCCAACACGACTGCGCGACGGATGAATTTGCGCATGACGTCGCGGTGCACTGTAGGATGCGTCCAATCTGTCGCTAAGTCCTCAGCCAAGTGTACGGTGTACTCTGGTTGAGAGTTTGGTACAATCGCCACGGTACCGTCGCGGCGGCTGGCTCGCCGAAACAATCTAAGCACCGGATGTAGGAATAGGTTCCGCTGGTTTTCGAGTTCTGCTTCGCTGAGAAACTCCCCTGTCCGTGTGTTCCGACTTCCGTGATCGACAACGAAGCGCCCGTGAAACGTCTCGCCGAATTCCATCGTGATCGTCACAATAAACCCCCCGCCGGCACTTCGACCAGTTTCATTCGACGGCCCGGTCACGAATACGCCGTCGCGGAGCATTTTCATTGGGACGTCAATGTGGTAACGAGCGCCACGCATGGCGTCCTCCATGACGCCATCAACGGTCGGATACGCATTCTGCGTCGACGTCGCATCGATCAGTATGACGTCGGCTAGCGTGCCGTACATTTGATATAAGGATGAAGCTGTGTTGATACGTTGCGACGCGTGCATCAGCGCGTGCGTACTACCACGCAAAATCACCGTGGGCCAAGAGCCTCCGTGGTTTTTCACGTCGAGATACCGAGTGAGAGCTCTCGACGTGTACCTGAATCCGTGAATGAAACCGCCCGCCGAGCGCTGAAAGTCGAGGGCGTGCGCCACCGCACCGGCAAAGTACAGTCCGGGCACATTCCTCGATTCGTACGTCGCTGTCATGGACGGATATTTACCCCCGCGCTTCGTTACCTCACCAGGTTTCTCAAGTTTCGGTACGGTAGACTGTTTAAATATAGTTCGATCAAACTTCCAGCCGATGGCGCGGATAACGTAATCGTAGAAGAAACAATATTCGAGCGCCCGGCACCTGCGTTTATCCCCGGATGCGATGATGTCGTCGATGTCCACGTTGCCCTTGATCCTCAGGACGACACCGCCAAAGCCTTCTGTGATCCGCAGCTGTGACATGATCATATCGTCGATCATTATCATCGAGTCCAAACTCTTGAGCAAATACTGATCCAAGAAAGCCGCGTTGGGGATTCGCAATGCCCCGGGGTAATGCGTTTGGTGCGCGAAGCGAATTTCACTCGAAGCAAAAATGTCGGTGTGCGCCGAGACTTTGGATATCGCCGCCGCGGTCTCGAATCCGGCGTTTCCAGCACCCAAAACCGCGACGCGTTTACCGGCGAACATCGAGACGTCGTCCGTCAATTGCTCGTAGCCGATTACTTTCGGATGCCAAAAGTGCGCCGATAATTGAGTTGGCGCCGACAAACCAGTGGCTGAGATGACGTTACCGCATCGCCATTCTCCCTTTGATGTCTTGACGATGAATGCGGAACGCGTTTTTTCCTTTGCGATGGAAAACACTTCAGTGTTGTATGAAACCAACCCTTCAAGTTTTTCAGTCGCAAAATCATCAAGGTAGCGCGCCAGATCACTCGCATGCGGATAGTACTCGTCGCTGTAGTTTTGCATCAATAGACGTAGTCGATTTGGCTCGGCGTCGTCAAGCGGATCGATGAGGGAGTTCCAATCGTGACGCAAGCGGAAGTCTGCGTCTGTTTGCTTTTCTGTAAAGTAACGCTTGTTAATGCTGATCAACTTCCGATGGATCGGAAACCGCTGAAAGAACGAGCCGGCGGAAGATCGCTTCTCCAACACCACGAGCGTCGCGCTCGGAATGTCTCTCAATATGTATGTTCCAGTCTGGATACCACCCGGACCCGCGCCGAGGATGCAGTAATCCACGGATTCGTCTCGATCTGGCGCGAGCGACGCATGGAGCGTTCTTTTGCGCGCGTCGTCACCGCCTGTCGCCTTGTCTCGACGGTACGCCCTCTCTTCCTCCTCTGCGCGATTGTCGTTGCGAAAAGCTACCGGAATCGTGTAATCTACGCCTCTCTGCGGGACGTTCGAGGTGCTCGCACCGACGTGCGTGCCCGCGAAGAAGGCAACGATCATGGATGTTATCGCCACGAGGACCGAAACGGACGTTCTGCGTCGCTCCGACGCGTCCGCATCGCGCGTCATGGACGCGAGTGCATGTGTGTGGCTCACACCCGCGCGCTCGTTCGAGTGAACGTCTTCGCGATGGAGTGCGCGAATCGATGGAGCTCGATCGCGCGATTGTCTACGCGTGCATCCTCGTCTCGTTTGTCCACCGAAGCTAGATCAGCGACGATCGTCGTCGTGGGACGACATTCGTCTCGTAATTGGCAACGCGCGCGATTCCCTGCGCGACGCGCGTCGTACGCGGACGAGGACGAAACCGCGTCGTACGAACGATGGAGCATCGCGGAAACTGAGGACACGGAGTCGTCGGAGAGATTGGGGACGTTCGAACGGACGACGTTTTCCTTCTTAGACGAGAGTGGACCAAACGCCCTGGTCACGGCGAGGCCAACACGGAGCAGGTCGCGAACACTCTTCGTTTCCATCGTTGGCTTGATGTTTCTCGGGAGCTTGGCGCAAGGTGCGAGCCTTAGCGTCATCGTTCGCCGACTGTTTACCGTCGCCGTCGTTCGTTTCGTTTTCCGCAGAGCGTATCGTTTTGCGTGCAACGTGTATGAAGGCGCTTCAGAGGTCAGAGTTCAATTTTCAATTAAGGGTGTGGTCTCGGCCGCATCGTCGCGTGCAAGGCTCGTGTTGAGGGGTTCAACGGACGGCGTGCGTCCCGCTTGCGAGAGAGCGATGGCAAAATTTAACGAAGACAGACGCGGAATGTTGTTGATCCCGCTTGTCGCCGCCTTCGTGGGTTGGTTCACCAACTGGCTCGCCGTTAAGATGATATTCTACCCGATCAAGTTTACGGGTATTCCTTGGCTCCAATACGTCGAAGGAGCGGTGTACGGTTTTGACATTCTTCAACCTCTTGGCATTGTTGGCTGGCAGGGCATCGTCCCGGCCAAAGCGGCGCAAATGTCGTTGACCATGGTCACCATGGTCACCGAAAAGCTTGTAAACGTCCAAGAAGTCTTCATGCTTCTCAATCCCACGGCAGTTAGTGACTTGCTTTTGAGCGAGGTACCGAGCATGGCGAGAGAGATCGCTGGAGCCATTTCCGTCCCCAACTGGGCAGTATCTCTCGCCGAGCGCGGTGTGCCGGCGCTTCCGGGGCCAATCTTGGGTGAAGTGAGCGAAGTCGTCACGTCATATCTGAGTGGATTCGTCGTGTTACTTCAACAACAGGTCGATCACGTCATCGATCTGAAAGAGCTAGTCGTTACCGCGATGTGCACAGATCGCGTTGTCTTGGTGGACCTGTTTCAGAGATGTGGCGCCGCGGAGCTCTCGTTCTTGGTCAATAGTGGACTCTTCTTCGGATTCTTTCTCGGTGTCATCCAAATGATCGTATGGGCGTTCTACAACAACCCCTGGTCCATCACGATTGGCGGTTTGATTGTCGGCTTGGCGACGAATTGGCTCGCCCTGAAATGTATCTTTGAACCCGTCGAACCCGTTTATGTGGGACCTTTCAAGTTGCAAGGTTTGTTCCTACAACGGCAACAAGAAGTCAGCGGCACGTTCAGCGACTACCTCACCGCAAAGGTGCTGAAGAGTGAAGAAATTTGGAACAACATGCTCAACGGGCTGAAAGGGGCGGAGTTTGACGAAATGTTGCGCTCGTACACAAAAAATTTTGTCATTGAGGAAGCTGCTCGCCGCGGCATGGACGTCGCTGAATTGGATATTGAGCTCGTCGACGAGATCTGCCAGCGTGTCGTAGACGAGCTTCCCGATCACGTTGACGTCTTGCACGATTATACCGATTCAACGCTCGGTCTGCAAGCGCTTATGCGCGAGAAAATGCAGCTAATGACACCGCAGGCTTTCGAACGCGTACTGCACCCAGTGTTCGAGCAAGATGAGACGACGCTCATCATATCGGGTGCCGTACTCGGAGCCATCGCGGGTTACATTCAACAGGTGTACTCGGTGAAGGGCACGGATAGCGATGATTCACAATGATGTTGAATTGTAATGTTTTATCCTCTTTATCCTCTAATAGCCATCATCCACTGGAATTCTATCGGCGTGATCGTAGTACGTCGTAATTTGTCTCGCGTGCACCGTGCGATCACCGCGAAGATCGAGATACTTCCAGTCCGGGTAGTCGCACTTCACTGAATCTGACGCCATGGCAGCGAGCCGCGGAAAGTGCTCGCGCACCGCGTTGATAATCAACTCAGCCACGCGTCGCTGTCCTATTTCGCTGAAATGCAGACCATCCACGAAAGCCGTGGAATCGACGTTGCCGCCGATGGAAGACTGCAACGAGTCGTACAAGTCAACGACTGGGATAGAGATCGAGTGAGCAACTCGCTTCATCGCTTCCACGTACGGTTTCACAAGCGCCGTCGTCCTGTTCGGCGCCGAGGTCGAGCCCGCCAATAACGTGCCGAATCCAGAACCGGGCTGTGCGGCCCTTATTGCGCAATCCATAGCCCATGCGTCGTCGTCCACTGGCGGCGGCGTGATGAACAACAGGCGAGGCGATGGTTTGAGACGCAGAACACTCTCTGCGATGCGCACGAGGTTCTTCTCGTATCGTTCGACTGGAACGTGCTGGACGGCACCCGCAGGCGATTTCCCATCGCACGCGTCGTTCGAGCCGAATAGAACCGTCACCAGCACCGGCGATGGTTCTTCACTAGTAAAGACTTGATCGAGCATCGAAACGGCGTGATCGGTGTTATACCCACTGTAGCCGCGCGCCTTGACGTCTACACAGCGGCGAAACTCGTGCTGCATTCGAGCACCGAATCCACCGACTTCAAAAGACCGCTCCGTGAGCGAATCGCCGAATAAAACGATGCTCGCACGTTTCTGCGTCGCGGTGTTCGCCGATTTCATGGCGGCCGCCTTGTGCGTCGAACCCGTGGCGGTGTTCCCATCAGGCGCCCCGCGCTTGAGCTTGAGCTGCGTGCGCACACGTTCTCGTCTCCTGAGACACGGTTTGCACAACGCTCTGTGACCTTCGCGCGTGATGCCACGCTGCTTATCGCGGTTCACGTATCGCTGCGGCTCGTTCGAGCATCTCGACGTCGACACGAGCTGCGACGAGCGCGCCTGGAGGAGTGAACCGGTGAGTGCGCTCTGGATGAGCGATGACGACGACACGAGCGAGCGTCCAGAGTCTTCACGTGCGGAGGACGAGCACGATGAACATCCGTCGCACGCGCATCTCGGCGCGGGGTCTTCGGGGCGCATCGCGAAGTGGCGACACGTCGTCGCGTCGAAGCTCGAGCGAAGTGAACGCCACTCGTCGTTCGATCGCATCGCAACGATATGAACGCGTCGCTCGAGCGTGCGACGACGGAGAAGGAGGCACACAGTAACGCGCAAGAGCGCGCAGTCGCATCTTCGCCGTCTTCTTCAGAGCGTCGTCGCACTTTGCTCGTCTTCGATCTCAATGGACTTTTCGTGGAGCGTGTTAAAGGGACAGTTTTCGCGCCGCTAAAGGAATCGGACGACGACGCGCGAGATGATGACGACATGAACGGTCCAATTTCTTCCCGAACACGTAACGCGACGACAAGACGAGCGATCGTGACGCCAGACTTTAAGTGTGCAAATACAAACTGTTTTATTCGAAGGTTTGCGAGCGAGTTCATCGAGTGGTGTCACGAGCGTTTTGAAGTCGCAGTGTGGTCGAGCGCGATGGAAGTGAACACGAACATTATGGTTAACAATGTGTGGCGCGAGCAGCGCGACAAGCTCGCGTTCATACTTTCCCAGGAGCACTGCGCAACTGCTGGAACGATGCGCACCTCTGACGGGAGAGGTATTAAGCCAAAATTTCTTAAGGAGCTATCGGTGGTATGGGAAAAGTTTGGCGTTCAAAGAGGTTACGACGCGACAAACACGCTTTTGATAGACGATTCACATTACAAAGTGCTTCGTAACCCGCCGAATACGGCTATTCATCCGGCTCCGTTCACCGTTGCCACCAGAGACTTTGACATCGGCTTGAGCGCGAGTGGGAGTCTGCGCACGTACCTTGAGAAGCTCTTCCAGGCAACCGGATCCGTGCCTGATTTCGTCAAAGCGAACCCGTTCGTCGATTCGGGGAATTTGGACGAGGCGAGCGCTGTCGCCGCGATGGGAGCAGAACTCGCTGCGATGCGTGTAGGAGAGAAGATGCAGACTGAACCGAAGCCGAAAACGACGCAGACCGTGGGCAAGGTGTATCCAAAACCGAAGTTGATAGCTACACAGACGACGTTGCTCTCGAAGACAGAGTCGACTGACAAAGAAGCACGATAGAATGATAGAATGGCTTGTAGCGTTGAATGAAAAGCAGGCGCGGCGCACTGAAGCTTGTAGTTTAGGGTTTAGGGTTTAGGGTTTAGGGTTTAGGGTTTAGGGTTTAGGGTTTAGGGTTTAGGGTTTAGGGTTTAGGGTTTAGGGTTTAGGGTTTAGGGTTTAGGGTTTAGGGTTTAGGGTTTAGGGTTTAGGGTTTAGGGTTTAGGG